ACACTCCCCATACAGAGACTAAAACCAACAGTCATTTGCCTCTGCTCACTGTTAATGTCTGTCAATCAATTATAAACACATCAGGGAAACACAACATTGCACTTAGTGATATATTTCTTCATTTTGAAACACAAGATTCTAATAGAAAAATATCCAGAGATCCTGTGCATGGGCCCTTGACTCATGCTTACTTCAGATGTTGTAAAAGGTTATGGCTCTCTGGAGCCTTTGGGGCCCCAGCTTTAAAAAATATCAGGGTCTGGTGATTCGTAAAGAGGAAACGTCAGCCAGCGCGACGCTGCGTTTAAGTGTGTTTCTGATCATTTTTGAACAACAATGGAGGTCTACGGCACAGAAAAATAAGCTAATCTAGTACTGACAAACTGACAGACATTAGTAGTGGTAAATCATCATTGGTTTTAGTCTTTGTATGGGGAGTGTTGAAAATACTGCTAATAGAGAAAATGCCTTTACCTTTAAATCTACAGTATATATGTATAGACACATACGTATAATCGAGAGGCCTGTATCAAATGTATGAGATCACAAACCTCACATTCCTGTAGAAATAATATACAAAGTTCTTTTGATGATATTGTTGAGTTATGATAGCCTCAACTGCTGTTTCCAATTCTTCTTGTACATATCTGACCATTAGTCATAACAGTTTTGGCTTTGAAAGTGGACTCCTGACCTTTTGCTATTGTTCGCTCTCTGCCTTTCTCTTGGGTCCTGTGAATATCTCAGGTGCCAGTCACTAATCCTTTTTTCTATTTGTTCCTTATGTTCCCGATATTTGGTGTTCCTCTTCGCTGACTCATGAGAAGACACACACAGCTGTGCTTTGTTAGTGAATTCAAGCAATATTCAGAGGTCAAAGAGGAAATTGAGCCCACTTATTTAAACTAAGATATCCTGGAACACCAGCGCTTGACAACGTTTCAGACTTGCACAGTGATTCACTGTGTTTTCACTGCTTTAAAAAAGAAACAATCAAACCAGTTTCCATAGTGTTTCAGTGTTTTGCGGTACATAACACCCAGTATGTTTCTTTTCTAAAGCAGACATTATAAAATGTTTTTGAAATCTTTCCATCCCACTGCTGAAGAAAACATAAATCTACACAAATGCTGAAATGGCTTATCAGATTTAATTTTCAGCAAATACTGGATAATATTTTTAAGACCTACGAGAGCTGGCAGGTGTGGGAGGGGGTTGGGTGTTTTCAGTGAAACTCCATACTGTATTTAAGTGACTCCTCTAAGACAGGCTATGACTGCTCCAACTTGGTTTCTATGTTTTCAAAATAGATGGATTATCTTTGGATTTGTCAGTCAGTTGTTAAGTAGCAAAACAAGCGTGACAGAATTTGCTTGCAGATCAGCTGAGACGGATGACAGGAGATTGTCAGCATCGTAGTGATGATCTCACCCAGATATCAGTTTCATGTTTGTAGATGTGATCTTTCCCATACAGTAAATGAAACGGAAAGACGGGGTGTCTGTTCTCTAAATCCCAAACTATGGAAAGCTTTGAGTTGATATTAAGCGTCTCTCACCATATTAAGCACAGTAAGAACATATGTGGTAACGTTCTCCTGGCCGTGGTTGTCCATCATCTTTCTGTCCACCACCACCAGCGTCTCCACATTGAGCTTCTGATTGACTTGGTTCTTCATCAGCACTGCCCTTTTGTTCCTGGGGATGAATCTGTACTCATCTGGGAGGATAAAAACATCCTCCTCTGGGGGTTTGGGCATGTCTAAACAAAACAGATGGGGAAAGATAAAGGGAAATAAAATTCATATACCATTATGAAGCAAAATTATTAGGTAACAACTGAACAAAGCATGTGACTTTGTCCAGAACACGCTGTGGCTACAGAGTCAATATGATTAGGAACAAACTATGGTATGGTGGGTGGTTGCTGGCAGAAAAACAAAACAAAACAACAACAACAAAACTGTTCAGATAAAACAATGGCCGTCTTCGCTGATGAGCGTTAACCAGTTATTTCGACAAGCAGCTGACCGCCATATTGAATGATTAACCATAGTATATTCTTAATTTCATGACCTGATGTCATGGATAAACTGGAGACCTTTTTTCTGATGTTGACTCTGGCAGTCTCAGTGTTATGCTGCCACTAAGGATAGCGTGAAATCAGATTATGTGATATGCTGTGCATTCAGCAGAAGCTACATAATGTCTACATACAAATCCAAATCCACTGTGTTCTTCAAGGAAATTTCTGAGCAATTTCATATTCTGTCAACAAAACACAATGTTAGATATTTTAATATAGTATGATAGATAAGCTTTCCCTCCTAAGGGGAATTTGTTTTTATAAAACATAGTGAACCAAATTGCAATAAAATCAGAATACGAGCTTATTGTGAAGCCTTATCAGCACATACTTGTTAAGTGAAGATGTGATTTAGGCAAACAAAGACTTAATCTCAATATCAAATGAACAGTTCCTCCCTTTTAAGTCTGCTTTTGAGAAACACATCCATACTAATTTCTACATTATGACATGATTATGACAAGAGGTCAATTAGGTCAATAGACAAAGGAAAACACAGCCTAAAAACACAGTGGCTTTTGCATTATCACCTCACACCTTCACTGTCATTGTCTGAAGTTGTCTAAACCTTCACCTATCACTGCCTGGTTGCGATAAAGGCTAGTGAGTTTGCTCATATATGTGGAAAGCAGGTGAGTGACCAAAGTGCCTGTTTGACTAAAACACAGCACAGGTATTCAGTGATGTCACTCTCTGAAAATGTAAATATTGTGTTTTCACAGAGGACAGACAACTAGTGTTAATGGTGACCAGTCCAATCCCTGCCTGCTCTCCTCCAAATGACCCCTGTGACACCAGCAGTGCTAGCCAATCTTGTTATAATTTCTTGAGTGCAAACATTTGTCACAGTGTAAAGTGAGCATAAAACATTTCCCTTAACCTTTTCCAGGTTAAATTACTAATGAAGTTGGCCAAAAATGTCAGTATAAATTGAGATAATATTCTTCAGAAGAAACACTTGTCATCACATGAAATAGTACAGTCCTCTGAAAGTCGTTGGGACAATTATCCAAGGAAAGTGAGCAAATATGTTGCCATTATGTTCAAAAGTTATAACATCCTCTAAGTTCCCCAGTCTTCACTTGCTTTCTCACTTTAACACAGTAGGGGGTATATACTTATCTATTTTTAATAATGCTGTGTTATAAAATCACAGTACTGTAAGCTTTTGTAAATTGTAAATATACTGACATTCAAAGCAATAAAATGAACATAGAAACACTGGTATGATGTCTCTGTGTTCCCATTCCACCAAACAACCAGAGCCATGTAGGGCTGCCTGCTGACAGAGTTCACCACAAAGGTCAACGACCAGTATTATTATTATGTCAGTCCTTTTCTTTTCTTTGTGAACCTGTAAGTGAGTTGATCTCTCCTGACATGTTGCTTAACCTCTCCGAGTTCAAATCACTAATTTAGTTAACATCTGGAAACTTAAAGAATATATTCTTACACTCAAAAGCTAACAAAGTCAGAAGTATGTCCAGGCGGGACATATTTATTCAATTGTCAGATGTTAACTATTTTCATTTGAAGGAGTGAAAAGGGGAAAAGGACTACATGGAAATACCAATATCCTGAGCAAAATAAGTCATTTAATCTAATTTTGTCAAGAGTAAAAATATCCCTTTGGTGGAAGACTATATATATGTAACATTTACCTTTTATTTAAATCCTATTGTGGGTTGCTTATGTTTTTTTAAAAGGACATCCTGCATCACCAGTGCAGAATGATTTGTGCAGTGTTTGTCTGTTTTCTTCTCTTTATGTTTTCACTGGCTACTTTCTTGCTGAGACTAAACTGGAACCTGCTCCCAACTAAAATTTTTGCATGTGAAACAGAGGCAGATGTTTCATACATCAACATAAAGCAGTAGGTGAGGATGAGTGACACCCTATACTAATGCTGCATTCTGTGGATTAGAATGAGAAATTGCCCTTACATACATTTCTTCCTTCTCCCACAGAAGTGTTGCCTCTGCTTCTCCCAGTGTCTGTAGTCACTGGCGTGGTGATGGCGGCTTAGATGATGCTCCAATGGGTCACCATGACTGCTGTTGTAAGTGTGGCCATGGCGATAATGGTGAAAGTCACTTTGCGGTTTTTCCTGGACCCCATATTGATCTTCATTAACTGCGTTGTAGGCGGGATCTGTATGAGAGTTTGTGGATCTCTTGGTGACAGTGTGTCTGCGTGATTTATTAGGAGTTAAATCTGCAAATCTCTTTTGAAGCCGTGGAGGTGGATGACTTCTCTGCTCTTTCTGGGAGCTGCTTTCACTCTTGTAGAGGATGTGTGGCTGATGACTGGAGGGTGCTGTGAAGTTCTCTCTCTGGGCAAGCCTGGGGGACACAGGTCTCACAAAGTAGTCCCCATCCTGTGTTCTGATCAAACCTGACTAGAGGCAAAACACAGTCCCATTAGCTTTTCAGCAGTGGTGTTTAAATATTTGTAGCCTGAGCAATATGTTGCTGCACCCTTGGTAATTTGTGTGTATTTTAGGGAGGTTCATAAGAAAAAGCACAGTAATCACATCATGTTTTTTTATGTTGTTGCAACAATTAAAAAGCTTTGTGTCACAAAATATTAAAACGTGACTTGTGGTGTATATATTGTTGACATCCTTCACCTAAACAGCTGACACATTCCACCCAAAGTAGAAACAGTACCCTAAAGTGCAAAACAAAAGATAACATTCTCCAACTACTCATTTAGCTTCCCAATTCATCTCTGTCAGAAATTTGTCGTTTTGCTGTTCAGGGCCAGACATTATCTCAACAAAATCTAAATATGACTTGGTCAGATAGGGTTTGAAATAAATGGGCTGCTGTGAGACTGAAAAGAGGCGGCATATCACTCATATAAAATGTATACACTCATGCTTCTCAAGATATAGGCATCCCCCAGTCTAATACTGATGTATTAAAAATTTAAAGAAAATTATAAAACTCTAACGTTTCAGTAAAAGATTCCTTGAGCTGACCTTATTCTCCCTCTCTCTCAAACTGACAGTATGTTTGTCTTTCTCCCAAAGAGCCAGAGACATTTTCAGCTTAAAAAAAAATCCATTTTCAATAAACTTCTATCAGCTCAGACACTTGGATATTACCTTCTCTTGCTCTCTGCCACTTTTTTTTTGTCTCTCTCAGTCTCTCCAAACACGCACCACATCTGTGTTGACAGTCAACTGGCACACAGTGTTTGGACTGCAACTGCACTTGGCACAAATAGTGGTTTCCCTAAAATACATTTAATTGACTACAGTCGCTTTTTTCATTGAGTTGTGAATAGAGTGTGAGGTCCTTCATTACTGCAGCCTTTCTGCTGGCAAAAAGAAACCGCCTGACACAGTGGCAGTGATGAGACTGTGCCTGGCCTGAGGTACATGTGTATGTATATACATTTGTTTGTATGGCAGTTTCTAGAAAGTATATCTTTATGTGTGTACAATGTGCACACAGGTTTGCATGCATCTATTTGTGCATTCATTCTTGCAGGTAGACTTCTGCTGGTGATGTTCTTAGTGTGGCTGCAATGATCCTCAGTACCGATATTCCCCATTTGTCATAACTCACTAACCCAGGACTTGATCGCCAGCCAACAGCCACAGATCAGGAAACTAGTGGAACAGAATCTTTGGAAAATACTGTGACTGTATTAAGTTCAGAATAGGAAAATTATGAACTCAGTACAGATGAAGAGAAGCCAATATTGTCAGCTGTGACCACAATGACTGCACAGTTTACAGTTCATCACATATTGTGGTAAAGAAAGTATTAATACTGACACTTCAGCATACATCCGTATGACTCCTGAAGTGTTAGGATGTCGAAGCAGTTCATGGTCAAAGGTGGGGGTGGTTGCTCAAAATGCTGTGTTAGCACAAGCCAGTCTAGAGCAATTTACAGGTGTTTCTGCGTCAGATAATGATCATTTCCTACTGTATAGCAGCTAAGGTTTGACAGACAAACGATAACCACAAATGCAGAAATATATTTGGAAACATATTTACAACCATAAACACACTTTTTGCCCAGTACTTACTGAGATGATTACAATCCCTTAGACCCTTTAAAAACACAAAAAACAATGGATGTTTCACAGTGAAGTCCTAGATGATGTACATGTTTTGCTACATTAGCAACTTACCAGTACTGTCATTTCTATTCTGTGTCAAACCCTCCAAAAACTTACAGATGTAGCTGTCCTCACAACACAGAACTCAATTCAGTACTGACTCTGGACGACTGATCCTGATGCAAAACTGCAGTTTGCTTTAGGGAATGAGAGGGTGGGGATCAATTATTGATAAAAAGAAAAAACAGAGAAAAGAGAGATGCTTGCTAATGCATTACCACCTTCTACTGTGGCCTGCCAACGGTCAAGAGGTAATTATTTCCAGGAAGCCCAGCTAGGATTGTTGGTTACAGTCACATGTGACAACTGGTGCGTGATCTTGTCACCCGTGTGGAACCCACCCTGGCGCTGTGTAATCACAAACAATTGTCATAGTTTAGTTCCAAGTCACGGTGGTGCTGCTGTCAACCTTCAAAACTTCACACGTAAAGTATTTATTCCGTCTGGTGGGTAGTTGATGGGTTGAAGATGGGGCATTAATGTGGAGCTGAAGTACAGCAAGTCACAAAGAAAAATTGGTGCCATGTGAGGGATCATCTCCAGAGGTCTATGTTGATGCTCGAGTTTCACAGTCTCTCAGAAAAACAAAGTATTTGTGAGCTTATTTTCAACAAAATTTTGTCAACTTTCTGTATGCAGGCATGTACAATACTACAGTATGTGTTAAATAGATCACTGATTGCCCTTTGCCTGCAGCATGACCACAGTCAGGTTGTTTAGAACTCTCACCTTCTGAATTTTAGGCTCTTTAAGATGTTGTGAAATTGAAGGCTTTTGTGGTTTCATTTGCACTTTTTGTAAAGTACTCTTGTGAAAATCTTTTCAATACTCTTTGCCTGTTTGAACACCATCATAACAAGAACTATGAGTCACTCTGCAAATCTTTTTGTTTCCTCCCATCTATTGTATGTCCGATATATATTTTGTTAAGAGATATACAATCAGATGTTGATGTTGTAACTTGCAACCA